CCTCCTCCTCCTCCTCCTCCCCATCCTCGTCCTCGTTATCCTCCCCAACCTGTCCTCCCCAACCTCTCCTCCCCAACACTCATCCTCCCCCTTCTCTTCCCCAACCTCCCCTCCTTGGGCGCCTCCGATCGCTTCGAAAAAAAAAAACACAATAAGACGGAGCCACGACGAGGATGACATCGGGTTAGGATACACCGGTAATCTCAGGTACACGGCGGTTCTTGAAAATATTTCGGGCGCCGCGGCCTTCTCAAACCGTTCCCGAACGCTTTGAGAGCGTCCCAGAAAGCTCTGGGAGCGTGACGTGTGGACCGTAGTGTCTCTGGCCCATCCCGTTGACAAGGTTGAGCAAGTGCGCTGGAGCTGGGGCGGCACTGTGATGACGTTTAGGGGGACCTCGGGTGTGTGTCACCCGGTGGGGAAGGGAGAAGACCCGCAGCAGACGGTCCAGGAGAGAATGGGAGAGAGGGGGAGGGAGGAAAGGGTATGGGGGAGGAGGGCGGAGACATAATAATGGAGAGTGGAGGAGGAAGAAGACAGTGGAGAGAAGAGGAGGAAGAGGAGGAGGAGGAGGAGGTCCGTAGTCATGTTGCCTCAAGTCCGTAGCGGTGGATCAAGGACTTGGCATTTGGGCGCGGGGGTTTCGCGGCCCCGGCAGCAAGCGCCGGCGCGAGCACACTCACTCTGTGCACGGTACCGTTCCGCGCGTCTTCTTTCAAAACCGTTTTACGATGGAGGGCTTCTCTTGTTGGCCGTGCACCAATAAGAAGTGCGGAAACAAAGGCCATTTCTCTTGGCGCACGAGCTGCCTCATCTGTGGCTCAGCTCCCCACGGGCCCCCGCCAGGCGGCAATGGCAAGCCAGGTGGCGTCGCCCGCGGGGCTCAGATCAAGATGCCACCGTCCAAGACGCCCAAGCAGCCGCAGCAGCAGCAGCTCCAGCTCGCGGCCGAGCTTGTCGCGGCGCATGCTCGGATGCCCCCAGCTGGCATCGAGAAGCTCGCATGCGACTGGTCGACCCGACCAACAGAGCGGCCGCCTAGTGGCGAAGCGTGCCCTCGACTCTGGCGCCCCAGCCCCCACCGCCAGAGCCGCGCGGCAGGCCGCGGACTCGCTCCGCCAGAAGGTCGACCAAGTCCAGAGTCGCCTCGACAAAAGCCAGGAGGCCGCGGTCAAAGCCACGCAGCACATGGCCAACTGCCGCACGCAGCTCGCGTTACTCAAGAAGCAGGCCGCAGCAACAGCAGCAGCAGCAGCCAAGGCCGCCGAAGCCTACAGCGCCATGGCGGGCAAGTCTGAGGTTGACCCCAACCAGCAGCTGGCGCAGCTCGAATCCATGGCGGCGGCGCCACGCGCGGCCGCGCCCGATGGGGCGCGTCAGCTCAAGGAGCTCGCCGACGCCATCCGAGCCAGGCTGCCAGGCCCCGAACCGCCGGCTGCGAGTGGAGGCGACGCCGCGCCAGGCACGCCTGCGGCAGCCGAGGCGGCAGCTGCGGGCGTCGCACCAGCGGCGGCGCAGTCCGTTCCATCAACTGCCGGCGGTGCCCCTGGGCCTCTCGATTGGTCTACGTTCACTGATCCTGAAGGACAGTTCTATAAGTACTTCGTCGCCGCCCAGGCCATGGCTGCCGATGGAAAAGGAAAAGGCGGCGGTAAATCCGAAGCTCGCGATGGCGGTCGGCCCAGGCGAAGCGCAGCACTCATCGGCCACTCCAAGCTCGAGGGCCCCATTCGCCGCGCGCAGGAACACTGGGCCAAGCAGGCTCGCACGGCTGCGCCGTGCTCCGAGACCGCAACAGCGCTGGGAGTTCGCCACGGCCAAGAGCCGGCTTGGTCCGCAATGCATTCTCGAGGCACGACCGATTCTTGAGTCGACGGGGTCTGTGTCCAGGGGCATCAGCAGGCGCAAGTGCAGGGCTGGGACGCCCGACTAAATATGACGGGCAGGTCGGCCGGCCAAGGGCCCTCCATCGTCACCCACGGCGAGGGGCGGCGCCACTGGAGCTCTCTTTTAGATAATGCCGAGACGCATTGGCATGGCAGAGTTACCTGGTCAAGGCTCCTGCATTGAGACGGCTCGCATTAGCTAGTCGCCTCTCTCCGCGGCGCGCCCAGGCGGACAACTGCGGGCGAACGTGTATCTTCGCGACTCGGAAGGCGTGTCGCGATTGAATTGGCACCTGCTCGTCAAATTAGGTGCGGTCCTTCACAGGCATTGGCATCCGTTTGTGGTCTCGGAAGATTGGAGCATCACCCCAGCAGAGTTCCAAGGCACTGGCGGGGCTGAGTCGCTGCAGGCGGCGCGCGCAGCTCCGCCCATTCCGACGTGCACCGGAGGCGCCAACCCGAGGGCGCTCGATTTCTACGCGGCACCCAGTGGGCGGCTCCAGCACGGCAGCTCGACCAAGGTCCTCAGCGCCGTGGGCGATCACGCTTTTCACCAGAGCACGACCCGCAGGGTGTTACTTGGAGAACACTCGATGGGGGCCCGTGCAAAGCCCGCTCGGCACGCTGCTGAACATGGAGGGCACCGGGTATACAGCCAGCGTCCAGGCGCAGCCCGACGTCGACACGGCACGAGCAGAATTCGTCTCCACCAGGGGGCGCGAGTTCGTCGAGATGCACCACATGCCCGACGACCGGCAGCAGCATCGCGCGCGGCGGGCATCGCCGCTGGCCGCGAAGCGCCGTCGTGCGCAAGCCCCCCGCGCGCAGGTATATCCACGCATCTCGGCTCTCGCCATTTGATTTCGAAGCCTTGTGCGGCCGTTTGCAGAGCTTGCTAGATTTCAGAGCGCCAGTGACAGAACGGCCGCGCTGGCTGCGGCGCGGCAGCACGTCGCCTCTGCAGACAGGCGGCCCCCAGACTATGTCGGAGGATGGCGTGCGTTGCTGCAGTCAGCTTCCAGCATAGATTGCTAGCTCGCCCGCTTTCTTTGGACTCGCGCTCGTGCCTCAGCGGATCTGCACACCAGAACCGACGAGCGCAAGCGCGATCAGGAATGGAGGCCCTGGGCCCGCGCGAACGACAATGCCGGGGGCGGGGCGCTTTACGGCGACAGCAAGCCCCCCGCCCCGTGGCACTCCAGCCCCACCTTTTGCAGCGCGCCACTCGCGCCGCACCCGCTTCGCAGCGGCGCGAGACGCAGCTGCCCACGGAGGAGCGGAGTTCGTTCTGAGGGGCCGGGGCGGAAGAGGATCGTCTGCAGTGGCCCGACGACGCGGGGCCGCCTCTGTCAGACTGGTCTTTAGATGAGCTGCGCGCACGTCTAAAATCTTTCAAATTCGCCCCAAGCGCTGGCTTTGACCAGGCAAGCCCGCCTCAGCTGCTAGAGCTCTGCGACGAGGGGCTCGAATGCACGCAAAGGCTCATTTTTCATTGAAGGCGTGACGTGCTGGTCCACCGCGCGGAATATAGCGCCCCTCACCACGCGCGCGGGAGGGCCGCGACCCATTGCTCTGATGCACGCGATTGCGCGAGCGCAGGGGCGCCCTCGCAGGCCCTTGCTCCGAACATGGCGGCCCAACAACTTTCGTGAGTTCTGGTGGTCGACCACGGGCAGGCGGTCGGAGCGGCTCGCGCGGGCCCAAGCTCCATCTCGGAGTGGGCAGTCAGCTGGAAGCTCTGCGCGGGCACCGTTTTGCTCGACCTGCGCAAAGCCTTTGAACGCATCAAGAGTAAAGTCCTGATGGGCGCGGCTCGGAAGTCTGGCTTCCCCTCGCGGCAGCTTCGCCTGCTCGTCGCCTCGCATCGCGCGCCGCGGGTGCTCGAATCTGACGGCGTCAGCTCCGTGCCCATTGAGACGCAGCAAGCTGTGCTCGCAGGGTGTACGATCACCACTCCATGTCTCCAGGTGGTGCTGCCCGGCCCGCCCGACGCGGCACGGGCCGCCTTTCCGCCACAGAATCGAGGGCATGATCAAGTCAGCGAGGCGGCGGGCGATTTCGGCTGACACAATGCAGGTTCACACGCGGACGCCTTGAAAGGGTCGTCTGAGTCGACAGCTACGTTGCACCAGGAGCTCGGCAAAGTCCACGCGCCAACTGGTCGTCCCAAGAGCTGCGTGCTCGCGTGCACCCACTCGTCGAGAAGTCAGCTCGCCGTCGCCCTTCGTTCTCGCGGTGCGCTGGACGCTCAGGTCGAGAAAACTCGGGTGTGGTCTGCGCGGCGGGCGGAGTCATCAAGCGCCCAACGAAGCGGGATTGCAGGAAAGCTGCCGCCCATAGGCAAAGCAAGGTTGCCCCCCTGGCCAGCAAGCTGCGCAAGCAAGTTGCGCACAACATGGCGCAAGCCGCCGCGCAGGCCCCCACCTCGCACAGGTCGCCTCGGGCAAGGAGTTGCGTCGAGCCAGACTATTGCAGGCCAGCGTGCAGTCTCAGCGTCTCAACGGACGCAGCATCACTCCCATGCTGCAGTTGCCAGGGGTCAAGCACATCGGCCCTGCTTGTAAGCTTCACATCGCTCCCCTTCTCCATCTGGCATCCGCCGCCTGGAAGTCTTGGGCCCCTCGGGGTGTCATCGTGGCCAAGCTTCAGGAGGCCCGGCGGGCCCTGAAGGGCACGCCTCTCCGTGGAAAGCCATCCGAGGGCCCTTCAGGGCTGCGCTGCTACAGCACTTCACCTAGGCATTCAGATCGATGGCATCAGGTGGTATCATCAGGTGGTCGGATATGTTTCACCGCTCGAGCTCGGCCCACGTACTACCGGGCTCGCTTTCGCACGCATCGTCGATGTCTTGTGCTGATTCAGGGCCGCCGAGCACTTCGACAGTCCAGTTTTTGAGCGAGGACCCTTCATCGCTCCCATTATTGCTGGCACGTGCCCACTCGCAGCCCATGAGAAAGCGCACGTCATTTCGGCTGTGTCCGAAGGACAATGGCCCAGGCGCGGCAGCTATAAGATTTTGCCGAGTGTCAGATATGTCAGAATGCGCCCGGCATGCATCGTCATCTCGCGCGTCCTGGGCACGAGCAGGTTATCGGGTCAGAAACACCAGCAGCAGCAGCTTCGTTCCTGCAAGCCTGGTGGTCACCCGTCTGTCCATATCCTCGCTGGGGGGCTGCTGGTGCCGCTGCCTGCTCCCCCTCGTGCTTTTCCTCCTCTGCCATCGGAAGTTTGTACTCGTGGAGATCCCAGCTAGTTGGATGGGGACATTTTCCTGGAGGGGAGTCTCCTGGATGGGGACCTCCTCCCCACCTCCCACAATCCTGCGTGGGCTCGTAGCGGCGCTGGAAGATGATGGACCCGTGGCAGCCGCAGTCGTGGCTGGGGGCCTTCCCGCCGGTATATGTATATATATATATGATATGATATGATATGATATATGTGCGTGTGAGCTCTGGGCCTTTTGTCTGATGGCCTCGCGTCCTGCATTTCCTGGGGCCACCTTGTGGACTGAGTCCACAGTTGTGTATGACGGTGTTGTCCAGCGCGGACAAAATGGCTGTTGTTCGGCCAAGTCGGCCTGGGCAGACATCTGGGTGATGGTGTGGGCCTGCCTCGGGGATCGGGGAGGGGTGGAGCGCATGCGGTTGCCAAAGGTCAAGGCCCACACCACCTGTGCTGATTTCGCCCGTGGCATTGTCACTGCACGTGCGCGGGCGGGCAACCAGCTGGCCGACGAGGCGGCCAAGGAGGCCGCTGCTTTCTTTCGAGCGTCGCCTGCCTATCGGTTCAACTAAGGTCGTTCAGTGCCTCACCTCCTGGGTTGGCAAGAGCGGCGTCAAGATGGCCGATCTTGACGCGCTGCACGTGCCTCCCAGGAAGCGCAGGCAGGAGCCGTGTGAGGGCGTCTGTGCGGCACTGGTGTGAGGGCGTCTGTGCGGCACTGCCTAAGCCTGTGGAGTCGCCCGTTCTGTCACGTGCTGATGTTGTGCTCGCCTCGCTCCGCAGAGACGGCCACGCTTCTCGTCGTGCCTTTCCCATTGCGTTGTCCAATGGCGCAAAGGGTATCGTCTGCACGAGCTGTGGGGCGGGAAGTGTCACGCGTCAGGCCTCCTTCAAGGAGCCGTGCCACCAGCGTCCCACCGCCTGGGGTCACCGTGTGTTGACGTGTCCTGCCGAGGGCAGCTATCTCATGGGCAAGTCCTGGACAGGGCCGAACCTAAACGGCGTGTTTCGTGTTCGTGCTGTTTTCGTGTGTGTTCCCTCGTTGTGTCTCGAACCCGCCCTCACCGCAGAACGAAGTCGGAACGAACACGGCCCACGAAAAATCGCCAGAACACGGTTTGGGTCCACCCCTGGCCCTGGATCCCTCTCCCTCCCCCTCCTCCTCCTCCTCCTCCTCCTCCTCCTTCTTCTCCTCCTCCTCCTCCTCCTCCTCCTCCTCCTCATCCTCCTGGTTTGGTTGGAAGCGGGCAGGCGCTCGGGCCTGCCGAGAGAAGTCTTGGGCAAGGGGGGGGGGGGCGTCGCTGGCCCTTTCTTTGCCTGGGCGCGCCACGCCCGGGCACAGGTGGCAAAAAAGGTCTCGCTCCAAGGGCCCCCCCCGTCGGCTTCGGTCGGGACTGAGGGACCTCCCTCCCTTCTTCCTCTGGGTCGTGCGTGGGAGGAGGAGGAGGAGGAGGAGGAGGAGGAGGAGGAGGAGGAGGGAGGAGGGAGGAGGAGGAGGAGGAGGAGGGAGGAGGAGGAGGAGGAGGAGGAGGAGGGAGGACGAGGAGGAGACGAGAGGAGGGAGAGAAGGAGGAGGAGGAGGAGGAGGAGGAGGAGGAGGGGGAGGAGGAGGAGGAGGAGGAGGAGGAGGAGGAGGAGAGGAGGGGGGAGGGAGGAGGAGGACGAGGAGGAGGACGAGAGACGGGAGAAGAAAGGAGGAGAAAGGAAGGGGGGAGGGAGGAGAGAGGAGAGAATTGGAGGGAGGAGAGGGGGAGGAGGAGAGATGAGATAGGAGGAGGAAGGAAGGAGGGAGGGAGGGAGGGAGGAAGGAAGGAGAGAGGAAGGAAGGATGGAAGAGGAGGAAGAGGAGGAGGAGGAAACAGAAGGAGGATCAAGCGAGGAGGGGCTCCGTCCTCGTCCTGGATGAAGCCCATCTTCGCAGACTTCGTGGGCTTCTTCTCCTTCTTCTCCTCGGCCAGGCCAAGGATCGCCCGAACAAAGTCTTTCGTCCTCGTGTTGCTTCCGTGTTCCCTCGGCTTGTGTTCGTTCCTCTGTGCGGCCGCCCGAAACGGGTACGGAATCAGCGGAAACGATGCTCAACAACAAATGTTGTCCAATACCGACAGCGGCCGCTGTTGGGCAGGCGGCCTTCTGTCTCAATTGGACAAGCCCCGTAGCGGCACCGACAGCGAAGCCTGTCCAGAATACAGAGCAAGCGCTGACGGTCTTTGCACCCCTTGTCTCCGTAACCATTTCCATCGTCCCGACCCGTTGCTGCACACGAAATAGCCAAAGCATTCGGTGGCAATCGGAGCCTCCCATACCATCTTGTCGGCTCTTGCGAGTAGACGCTAGTCGACGCTAAGTCGACGCCAGTCGACGCTAAATCGACGCTAACAGACGCTAAACCAGCGCCATCGCACGACTCCCAGATGCTAAACGACGCCAATCGGCGCTAAAAACAGAACTAAGAGGACATACGAAGCTTTATGTTGTTCTCCTCGTACTTAAGGACCAAATCCCATAAATAATGTCGAGCACCCAGAAAAGTACCGAAACAGTGTCGAACGAGTATCGCCACCCAGGGCCCGACACGTGGAAACCCTCCATGTTCGGTACTTTCTTGGTGCTCGATTTGTTGTTCTGGTGATCGAGGCTATAGTAGGCTGCAGCATCACAAAATTAAGAGGACATACGAGCAGGAGGATGAGGAGGAGGAGCAGGAGGACGAGGACGAGAAGGAGGAGGACGAGAACCACGGGCTGAGGAGAGCGGGGCCAGCCGTCGTCGTCGTCGGCCCGCCGCTTGCCCCTCGTGGCCGCGCGCCGCGGCGGTTGCGATCGGCAGCCGCTTGAGCCGCACGCCCGCGGGCGCCGCCGAGCTGCCGAGGCGGGGCCGAGGGCCCCAAGACGGCCCCGGGGCCCCCCTCGGCCCCGCCAGGCCGCGAGGAGGCGGCGAGCGCGGACGCCTGGCCCCCCGCCGGGCCGCGCTGGAGGCGGCCGCCACGCCGCGCGCCGCGGGCGAGCCAGCTTGGCACCCCCGCGCCAGGCAGCAGCGCGCAGAGGCAAGAGTGCTGCTGAGGCTCCGTTCGGCGGCGCAGGTGCTGGAGCAGCACCAGCCAGCACAGCAGCACCAGCGTCACCGGCAGCAGCAACAGCGCGCAGGCGTCACGATGACGCACAGGTACTCTGAGGCTGCTCCATGGCGCAGCGATGGCTGGGCGAAGGAGGGCTGGCAGAAGATCGCACCGCGGAGATCCTCGCGCCGAGAGACCTCACGGCCATCATCTCGCAAGAGAGGACCCCGCCAGCAGCAGCAGCAGTCGCAGCAGCAACACCAGCAGCAGCAGCAGCAGCAACAGCAGCAGCCGCACCCCCAGCAGCAGCAGCAGCAGCAGCAGCAGCAGCAGCAGCAGACCGCGCAGAAGCAGCAGCATGGACAGAGATGAAGCGGCAAGAGGACTCATACCCCAGCAGCACGCAGGCAGCGCGGCGAGGACGTTAGCCGCCCGTCCATTGCGAGCCTCGAGAAGGCCATCGAGGGTATCCCCATCGCGAGAGCGGCGGATGCGGCAATGCACAGTGCGTTCCAGGCTCCGCGGCAAGGCAAGCACCTCGAGCTGCAGCGCGACGAATTGAAGCAGCGGATGGAGCCCCTTGCCCTGTACGTGATCGCCGCCAGGGGCGCAGGGGAGAACCCAGAAGAGATCGAGGAAGAGATCGGGGTTCTCGGGTTCGTCCAGCAGTCACTCGGAGTACAACCTCAGCACATCCACAAGCAGCTCGAGTACTTGGATCGGCGGATATACAAAGCCAAGAATGAGCGCGACCGCTGGATGAAGAACCTCGAAGAGCTAGCTCACTGACAAGCGCAATAACACACTGGACGTCCGCGACGAATTCGGGGCGTCAGACGAGGCTGCAGTGGACGCCGAGGACGAACACGATGACGCCATCGGTCGCCGCGAGGCCAGCAGGGGGCGCGGCCGCCTAGCCCGCCCCGCAGGCCATGCACCGCCCCCCTCGCGCGCAGCCCTAGCAGCCTCATCTTCAGCACCATCTGCGGACGACGGGATCCACCACATCATGAGGGACCTCGCCAAGGCGGTGCAGGACCAAGCCAGGTCCAACGCCGACTTCCAGAAGCCGACCCTGGCTAAGATTAGCCAGACCGAATGACTGCAGCCGAGCACCGTGGCACCGAGAATCGGCACGGAGAAGAGCTACGGGCGGCACGGCTCGCAGCCGAAGCTCGAAGGAAGGAGGAGAAGGCTGCGGAGACCGAGGCCAAGAGCAGGAAGCTGCAGGAGGAAAAGGAGGGGGGGCCAAGAGCGGAATTCCAGCGGAAGTACGACATCCAGAGGAGGCGCTTCCAGGAAGAACAGGCCCAGTTCAGAGCACCCCAAAGAAGAAACGAGAGAACAGGCCATGAAGAGGAACCAGGAAGTGCGTGACGAACGGGGCCGCGTCGCCAACTACCTGCGCTTGCAGGCACAAGCTAAAGAAGACGAGGCGCGACAGTTGGAGATGACGCAGCAGGCCAAGCAAGAAATCCTGCTACAGGAAGTCATGCATACCAGAGACGCAGCCAGGAAGCTGGAGGACATGCAAGCGCAGCCGAGGAAGCAGGCAGAAGAAGACCACGAGGCAATCGTCCACAACCTGAAGGAACAAAGAGCCGCTCAGCAGTTCTCAGTCCAGCAACGCTTCGAGCTTGCCTTACAGCAGCGGCGTTGGGAGGACCTTCAGCGCGTGGACCTATTCCAGCAGCAGCGTGAGAATGAGATGAAGCACATACTGGAGCAGAAATAATACCAACGGCAAGAGGAGTGCCGAAAGATGGAGATGAGGGTCGAGGACGCAGAAAGCAAGGCCCGCGATTTAGGCACCTCACGCCACACCGCCCTGGAGGCCGAACTGCTGAAAGAGCTGGAGACCGCGAACCCGGACGACGCCCAGATGCAAGCCCCGTGGCCAACGACATCATCCTCTGGAGGCCCGTCCCCAGCAGCCCCGCTCGCGCAGATGGCCCAGGTGAAGGTGGCCCCCCTGTGCCCGCCACGTGCACGTGCCCCCCCCCCCTGCGCAAGACCCGCAGGAGCAGGAGATCGAGCAGGCAACCGCCGCGGAGGAGGCCGAGCAGCACCTGTGGGCCATCGCGAAGAGCGCGGCGCAGGCCATCGTGGACCACCAGCTCCAAGAGCGCGGAAGGGAGACTCTCCAATGGGCGAGTCCACGAACCGTCGCCACCGTCCTTCGACCCAGTCACCCCTCTCCCGCCGGGCACGGCGACCATCGACACATCCGACGACTGCGAGGACCAGATCGAGCCGGGCAGACGAGAACAGGTAAGGCTGGGAGAGAAGATGGCGGAGGAACACGACAAAGAAAGGATAGAGCAACACCTCAAGGGGTGCGAGGACGAGGAAGCGGCCATTGCCGAGCAGATCGGGAATACCGCGACGGATTACAAGCCCGAGGAGAAGGGGGAGAAGTACAGCGAGGACAAGGAGGACATGATCATGCTCAGCCAGCTCGGTATGGAGTCGCCCTGCAGCCGCCAGAAGAGGAGGAAAGAGGTCCCAGAGTACTGCTCGCCCACGCTGTCGGCCGCCGAAGACTACGACGAACTCCGCAAGGGCCAGGAGGGGGATCAGGACTTTATCGGGATATCCGACACCGAGAAGTTCGACCCAGAGGAACACCCCCCGCCAAGTGCGACAAGGCTCCAAGCGGAGGGGCCGAGGAGAGGAGGATTCGGGATCCTCAAGAAGATAGGCGACAGCAGCAAAGGCAGCAGAGCATCATCACTATCTGCATCCTCCGCCAGAAGCCAGAGCGATAGGAGAAGGGTCCGCATCGTCGATGACGGGGACGGCTTCGCAGACGGAAGAGACCGACGAGCAATGCGGCTGGAAGAGGACGGCGGCGGCAGTAGCGCCGCCGAGCATCAAGACGAGGCTGGCGCCTAGGCGCAAGAAGCGAGGAGGGTAGAGACCTGCCTCCTCCTCGACATGACGACCAAAGGCAGGCAGCAGGCTCTGGGGTGAGCGGACTGGGGCTCCAGATAGAGACACCACACCCAGCAGCAAATACACATCAAGGAGCTGAATCTGACAGCCCACGTATGTACGACTGCGACCTAAAGCAGCGCCTCAGAATTCAACCCCATGTTGGAGGTGTAGTTCGATCTACGAGCCTGGCCCACCAAGTGCAACCAGGGCCAGCCAGCCGAGCGAAGGCCCGACGACAACGTCAGGGAGCCACGCTTGGAGCCGTTGGCAAGCAGAGGGAGCCGTCATTCGGTAATCGCAGCCCACGGCGCAGCAGCAGCAACGGCGGCTGGACCGCTATGTGCCCGCCCACGCCGACAGCCTGGTAGGAGCCTGAGGGACGCACTACCACGCCAAGGGCATCCTGTGAGGGTCTCCACAGGCAGCATCACCGACAACGTCGTCGACGACCTCCCCCATCGCGAGGAGCAGCAGTACAGCGACGCTACGGGGCCCGCGCGGGGCCAGCCAGAGGCAGACAGGTCAGGTAGGAGCCTCCTCCTCCTCCTCCTCATCCTCCTCCTCCTCCTCCACCTCCTCCTCCTCCTCCACCTCCTCCTCCTCCTCCTCCGCCTCCGCCTCCTCCGCCTCCTCCGCCTCCTCCTCCTCCTCCTCCTCCTCCTCCTCCTCCTCCTCCTCCGCCTCCGCCTCCTCCGCCTCCTCCTCCTCCTCATCCTCGTCCCCCTCGTCCTCCTCGTCCTCCTCGTCTCCTCCTCCTCCCCCTCCTCCTCCTTCTCCTCCTCCCCTCCTCCACCTCCTCCTCCTCCTCCTCCTCCTCCTCCTCCTCCTCCTCCTCCTCCTCTGCCTCTCGATATTTCACCAGGGTGTGTGGGCTCCGCCCCCCCCCCCCGGGGCAGCCGCTTTGGCAAGAGAGCCCAAGATCGAATCGGTGAGTCTAATCGGCGACCGGGAGGAATCGTATCAGCGGAGAGCGGGATCCGAGTCGGAGACGTCGAATCGGCGGACATCGGCAGGCCAGTAGGCCTCCGTTGAAAGATCGGGGCCCGAACGGGAAACCGAAATGGAATCGAGTCGGAATCGGAATGCACCGAATCGAAACGAATCGAATTGGAGTCGAAGTGGGCCCTGGGCCGGCGGCCCGCCTTCTTGCTCTTCTTCTCCTTCCTGTCCGCGTCTCCCTCGTTGGCGACCGCGCCGCCGCCGGCCCCGGCCTGCTGGGCCTGTGACGGGTGGCGCGCGCCGCTGTCGTGTCGTCCCTCGTCGTCGTTTCACCCTCCCTTGCCACAGGGCTCCTCTCGGCTGGTAGAAGTGTGCGTGCGTGCGTGCGTGCGTGTGCGTGCGTGTGTGTGCGTGTGTGTGTGCGTGCGTAAGTGCGTGTGTGCGTGTGTACGTGTGTGCAT